CCCCCCTATTATTATGTTATCCTTCCTTTACTCTTTAAAATAAAAAAAAAATTTAAAAATTTAAAAATTAAAAAAAAAAAGAAATGGTTAGGTCATGCAGTAGGTGTGTGGCCAACTTCGTTAGAAGTTCCAGACTGTTCCCAAAGTTACTGTGGCCGGATGTCTTCGCTGCGTGTTTCTGGAGGGACACGCTGGCCTTGAATCCATGAATGCACTTTGGCCAGCTCCAGCTCAGGTCCTGTGTAACTTCTGGCTCTCCCCCCAAAGTCAAGTGACATCCTGGTCCCCTGAGCCAGTGGCAGCAGGTGCGGCCATCTGTGTGCCGCAGCTGGAAGGATGAGGCCTGTTGTGCAGAGTAGTCTCGGGCAGGCGCCTTGTAATTTGCTGTTGGTGTTGGTCTGCAGGAAGCAGTGGCAGCGGTGTACACTTCAGCAGTAGTGATTGTTGCTCTGAACTCTCCGAGGATGGGTGGCAGTCTCCGGATGTGCAGTGGAAGGAAGCCCATCCCAACCGTGCAGAAGACTCCATCTGGAGGATGATTGAACAGGTGCCTGAACAGGTCCTCATGACTTACCAGGTACCCGAGAGGTGAGGGACCTTTACCCACTGCTTACACTTTCACGGTTTCTGCTGTTCTCTAATACGGAATGATTCCTAAATACGTTAGCCATACTGTTAGAAAAGGGTATTGTCCTGTTCACTCATTCGAAGTCCAGCAGCAGTTGATTTCTTAAGGATTACAGTAACGGTGACACGTGTGTCCAGATCCAGACTAGACAAACCCGCTACTCATTCTGAGTCCAGGAAACAAAGGAAGGTTGTCCTTTCTGCCGTGGGCACAGTGGAGGGACTTTGCAGAGCCTAGACCCCTGGCAGGTCTGGGGAAATCAGTTGTTTTCACTAAAGTCTGTGTACCAACTTGGCGTGTTTTCAGTGTGTGCCTCGTATATTAATGAGATGTGAAGTAGGCCACACCCAGGAAGTGCTACTCAGAGATGACTTGAGCAGAACCCCACACTAGGAAGGTTTCGTTTATATTTCCAGGGTTAAAGAAGTCGTGCTGAAAGAAGACCTCAAGAAGCTAGAAAGCATGAGACAGCAGCAGCCCCAGTTCTCTCCTGGGCAGAAGGAGGAGCTGGCCAAAGTGCATTCATGGATTCAAGGCCAGCAGGTCCCTCCAGAAACACGCAGCCAGGTAAGCACGGTAACAGCTGCGTTTATCGGCGGGCGTGCTGGGCGTGCTGTGAGTGCAGGTAGTGTTCTTGCGAGAGCCTACTGGAGATTCTAACCTTTACAGTTACCGCTCTGGTAGGTGTTACTGTCCCTGCTTTACCGATGAACAGTGAGGCAAGGCAGGCAGGTGTTGAGTCGGGCGTGTGTGAGGTTGTACAGTTCAGTGGATTTTGACACCAAATGTTCTTCTTACACTGCTTGCAATGTTTGGAGCAGGAAAGAGTAAAGACGGCTGATTTTATGTATGAATGACTGAGGAGGAGAGGTGTAAGAGGTAGGAGTTTCAAATACACATGTGTGTTTCAAAAGAGTTAAAATTCTAGCCAAGTGTGGTGGTGCACACCTATAATCCAGGCACTCCAGGAGGCTAAGACAGGAGCATTGCAAGGTTGATCTCAGCCTGGGCAAATTATCACGGTAGCAAGACCCTACCTCACAGTAAAAAGAAAACATTTTTAGAGGCTGAGGATATAACTCAGGACAAAGATCTTGGGTTCAGTTTCCAGTACCCTAATAATAATCCAGAAGACTAAAAGCAGCAACCTCAGCAAGAGTTGAAAATCAGGATACAAGTGAGGCACCAGAGGTAGTACTCTTACCCAGCAGGAGCTGAGGAGGGGCCCACGAGGTCTCTTGCAGTTCGAGGCCTCAGAGGGCTCGTCTGTGAGCGTCTGGGACAGCGAAGCCCTTAGTCCCCAGCACCTGTGCTGCCGATAGTGGCAGCTGTGTGGTGGTAGTGGTGCAGTCTTTTATTCCCTCAAGTGTCAAGGTGACGGAGGATGAGGAGTGGAGTTGAAAATCATAATGAGGATAAAGTTGCATATTCAAAACACATCACATAAAGTGTACCTTCCTAACTAGTTTGAAGTGCACAGTTCCGGCATTAAATACATTCAGGTCGTCGTCCTGTCAGCACTGTCTGTCTTCTGAACTCTTCTTCTTAGGAAGCTGAAACTCGGTACCCAGGAAACAACTCCACGCTTCTCTTCCCTTCAGCTGTCGCAGCCAGCACCCTGCTTTCTCCTGAAGTCCGCCTGCCTGGAGCACCTGGGCCCGGGAGCCGCCCGCCCGTCCTCCTGCGCTGGCCCATGCCTGCTGTCTTCCCGTCCTCCCTGCGTGTGTCTAGGGCTAATTCTGTCCCTTGTAGACAGCATGCAACTTGCATCTTTTTTCTAATCGAATTTTTTCAATCTTGGGTGTTTTTGTTCTTGGAAAGTTAAACTCATTTATTTTTAAAGTAGTTCCTGACCAAGAGGGGCTTCTCTTGGTTTTCTCTGTATTCCTCTAAAGCTTTTATTGTCCCTCATTTCCTGCCTTATTGTTTCTTTTGTGTTTGGTTGGGGTTTTTTGCATGAAATGTTTGAATTCTCTGCTCATTTCCTGTTAGGTATACTCTACGTTCGTTTTCCTATTGGTGACTGTGAGGATTACATTTAACACCAGCCTACCTTAGCGTAAAAAGTGCTTCTGCAGAGCTCCATCTCCTTTCAGGTATTATTACCAAATTAAATCTCAGTACATGGTGTGCCCACAAACACATAATTGGTTTCATATATTAATCTCTTAAATCATGTAGAAAACAAAATGTGCAATTATAAACGCAAGTTACAAAGATACTACCTTTTAAACTAACAGTTTTCTTGAAATTCATTAGTCTCATAGAAACAATGGAGTCACACATCATCATTAGAGTAAGAGCAGCTCTCATGCCTGCCCCGTATTTCCCGTCCCCGGGGTCCGTTTCCCCGCGTGGTTCTGAGCTCCCGTCTCCTGTCCTTTCCCCTTGGCCTGCAGGACTCCTTCCACGTTTCCCGAGCAGCGGGTCTGGTGGGGTCAGACTCCGCCGCTCTTGCTTCTCCAGAGATGGCTGCTTTCTCCCTCACTTGGGAAGATGTGCCAGACCCGGAAGTGTGCGTTGACAGTTTCACTGTTCGTTCCTTGAGGCTCTGGGTCTCTGGGCCACCACCTGTGGCGACCTCCAAGCCCCTGAGGAGAATCGGCTGGTGTTCTCCCCGAGGCCCTTGCGTGCGATGGGTCCTTCTTGCTGGCTGCTGTTACCGTTCTCTTCTTCAGCTTTAGATACTGGGTTATACTGTGCCTCCCTGCGGTTCTCTTGAGTTCAGACCCCTCAGAGTTCAATGAGCGTGGATGTGTATATCCGTGTCTCATTAAACGCGTAAAGTCTCTCTTTCTGTCCTGTTTGGCTCCGCGGTGCATACGTTGCCCGGCTCCTCGCCCCACGTGCAGCTCTGCTGTCTTCCCTCGGCCTCCTGGCTTTCTGTTGCTCAGGCCGGGCAGTCTTCACCTCACACTCTGCCCGCACACGTCTGCCTTTGAGCCCTGGGGGGAGCTGATGCGTCTCCCAGTCTTACAGACGAGGTTGTGGCGAAGGACTGAGTAAAAGGACAGCACAGTGTGGTTTGGGGGGGCCCAGGAAGCTCAGCGCTCTCTTGGAGCTAAGACAGAGATTGCTCTGGACGGTCAGGACTTATTGGGTCCTTAACGTGTCGGGAGTGCAGGAACGTCCAGGGCACACCTGAGGCAAAAGGCGCCAAAAATGACCAAGGCCTTGAGCAGTTAGAACGAGGACATGCCAAGCAGTGACCCCGTTAACCGAGAGAACCGTCCTGGCTCTGAGGTTGGCACTCGGGCCCTGAGTTCCGAGTGAGCGGGTATCCTCAGCCGCGGTCTTGCCTTCACAGGCGTCACAGGTCACAGCCCACTGCAGGCCTGTGCTGTGGCCGTGCGTGCGCAGAATTGTTTCTCTGCGTGCCGGGCGCTGGCTCTTCGGGCAGGTCGCCTAGGCCGGGGGCAGACTGTAAGTGAATACAGAAAAGCCCGTCGATTAACGCGAAACCCTGCTCATCGCCGCCCCCATCAGAGTCGTCTCCATCAGAACCCCACTAGGGAATTTTTTTTTCTTTTTGCCTTTTCAGGTACAGAATGTCTTTTTGGCTTCTTGTTACTTTTCATGTTGCTTTATTATTATTTCCATTTTGTTCTTCTTGGTTTTTTCCATGTCTTTCCCTTAGTTCTCTGAGCACTTTTAAGACACTTTCATTGTGCTTGTTTTGTTTCTTTGTGAGTGTTTTGTGTGGGGGGAGGTTGCTTTGGGGTTGGGTGGGCTTTGTGGTTTGTTTTCTTGGGGGCATTTGTTTATTTTTGTACTTGTGATTGAAGCTTGGACTTCGCATGTGCTTGGCAGGTGTTCTACCACTGAGTACCCCTTGGCCCTTTCTTTAACCTTTTTTTTAATAGGCTCTTCAATGGTGCTCCAGGCTGGCTTTCTACTTGTGATCTTCCTGCTTCAGCCTCCTGAGTAGCTGGGGTCACAGGCGTGCGCTGCTGCACTCAGCTAACTCTGCTTTAAAGTCGTTGTCTAACAAGCCTGCCACCCAGCCTTTCTCAGAAACCATTTCTCGTGGTTTTTGTTTTGTCTTGTTTCTCCCCTCTGAGTGACGGTTTTTTGTGTGTGCCTTGTGATTTGTTGTTGTCGTCGTTGTTGTTGAAAACCAGACATTTGAGTATAATGTTGTGGTCGCCGTGGAGGTGAGACCCCTTCCTCCGGCTTGGCCTGTTTGCTCACGGTGAGGCAGCTGCGTCTGCGCTGGAGAGCAGCAGGAGTCGGCCCCAGGACCCTGCGGCCTTGCTCGCAGCCGCGCCTCTGCCCAGGCCCCCCTGTAGCTGCCTTGAAGTGGCCTGCGCTTGAAACATCTGCCTCTGTAGGGGTCGGGGGGAGAAAAAGAGAAGGTGGGAAGTAGAAAAAGGAAATTTCCTGGAAGTCACTGCGGCTGGAGGTATGGTCAGCATAGGACAGAGACAAGGAAAATCTCAATTGTGAAGTTGTGCTTTCAAGAAAAATCGCAGCTTTGGGACACCAAGTTACCCTAGGTTATGGTGCCTTCTTCCCTTCCATGAAACTTCCAAAAGCTTCCTCAGGGTCCGCAAGGTCCAGTGAGCCTATAAATTGGGCTCAGGCTTTCCCCCAGAAGTTAAGCTGTGCTTTTCCTCCCCTAGACCAGCCCTCCCTGCTCGGTGAGGCAGCTGTCAGCCCCAGGCTGAGGCCCCTGGTTTGCACTTACCTACCCGCGGCAGGGGCGCCTTGCGCTCAGTGGGAACACCCCCATCACTGAGTCAGATACCCCCACGGCCGTGTAAAGCCCCGCCCCAGACCACGCGGGGGCTCTTGCGAGGGCCCGCGCTCTGTGCTGTGTGTTCTCTGATTCTGCCTGGTGAACCTGTGTGCCTCTCACCACCCAGGCCCTATGGCGGACTCAGCGAGCCTGCATCCTCCCTGGGAGGGAGGTGAGTTGAGGGCCCGTGACCTTTGAGGGACACCCTCAAAGGGACACCCTCAGACCCTGTCCGTGACAGAGGGAAAGGGCTTGCAGCAGTCAGAGCACGGCTCCCCGGAGTGGGAGGACGGACCTCGGGGCGCACAGCCGGCGATGGTGCTGTCACGGTGCGCACGCTGGCGCTGACCGGGCTGGAGCACATTTTACCGTGCAGCTCCCCTGAAGCTGCAGGTGTTAGCAGAGACCCAGAGCTCCCACACGGCCACACCAGGCGGCCTCTGCCCGCACTGAGTTGTCGGGGAGCCCAGAACCCGGCTCCCTCGCCCCTGCTCCACCTCCTCCCAGATCCCCGCACACCGGCCTCAGAGGAGAGACTGCACCTCCCGTTTAAGGAGGGCCGGGCAGGTTCTTGTGCTGGTCACTGAAAACCTCTTTATCCTTCAAATGCTGTTTTTCTGTTCTGTTTTTAATAGAAGAGTATACAAAGAATAAGCCCTCAAAATAATTTACACAGAAGCATTGAAACACTTCTTCCACTTTTGATGCATGAGTGAGTTGAGTTAGAAATATGTTGCTTGGCCATCCTACTGATGTTTAACTCTTCAGACAGCATTAACACCAAGAAACATCCCACTGCGTTCTCTCCACAGAGCTGTGCCGCCTGGGAAGGCAGAGGTCCAGGGGACGAGGGCGCTGCAGAGTCCCCCGGGCAACATCCAGCAGAAGGCCCGCCTGGAGCCCCCTGAAGATGCCCCTTCGCACCCTTCCTAGGACACGCGGGACATGGAGACTTCTTTGCAGCTGTCTAAGCTGTGACTCTCAGTGACCAGAGGCATCGCCGACACGAAGATTTTCCCTTCTTGCTTTTGTGCAGACGTCGATTTTTCCAAAGCAAACATTGTATATAGAATCTTCTCTCTGTTTCTGATGTATTAAAGTGCCAGTGAAGCTCCTTTTATTAAATCTCTTCTAAAGAGCCTGCATTGCCTCTGAAGAGGTCTGCGTGTGGCAGATCTCTATTTCAGATGTCACCCAAAGTTAATCCTACTTAGAAGCGTAGCTAGAATGAGCCCTAGACCTCAGCCTCCTTTATTCTGTTCTTTTGTGACGCACATCTCTCTCCCCATTAGAGCACTTGCAGAAATCCCACCTACAGTCACAAACTTCTCCCAGTGGTTCCCGTAAACGAGCTGGGCTGCGTCCAGCTGGGTGCTCCCTCAGTAGCAGAGATGAGACATTCCAGTTTCCTCAGCACAGCAGCGTGCTGTCCGTTAGCAAGTCTGGAAACAGCGCGTTTCCCAAGGCCTTTGTGCGTCTGATGCATTTCATTTTGACTTTCCACCTTTCACTGAAACTGAAAGCCTTTCCTTGAAAATCTGCCGACACACAAGAGGCTTATTCTTTGGAGAACTGAAATTAGCATTTGCACATGTGTTAAAAAAGAAAAAAGAACCCCTTGACCAATGGTCTTTTTAATGTTTTTGGATTTAAAATAATGATTGTAAGGGTTTACTATCAAAGCTAATATTGTCCTTGTATGCTTATGTGTTTGAATGTCCAGTCTTAGCAAAACTGTTTCTTTTTTTTGTTGTCACCAAATTGACACACACGGGGTCTCCCTGTGCCGCCCAGAGGCGCTCGCGCCGCCCTGGGTCTGCCTGTGAGCAGGGTGAGTGTTTGGGAGCTGAACACTGAAAAGGGAGCTCCGTGACTTCGGCCATGGGACGGCGTGTCCCCGCCTCGACTCGGGGCGGCCCGGGTCGTGTCCTTCAGGAAGTGAGCGCGACTTGCTCTCCGCTCGCTCTGGTGCTCTTTAGAGAAATCCTGGCCGGGTGCAGGAAACCCGCACTGCAGGTCAGGAAAAGGAAACAGAAGGCGGTGGAGGTTACAGTAGCATTTTTTTTATATGACTTGCAACTAACTTATTTTTCCTTTTTTTGTTGTTTTGTTTTAGGAAAACACTTCTTTGAAGTTTTAGGTTTTTTTAAATAAACACATCCTCATAATGAATAGGAGAATGGACTTCGTTACCCACGATGGCCGCTGGGCCCGGATTCTCCAGTCTGCTCTCTCAGATGTCTTCTCCTGACCTAGCGGTTTTCTGGATTCTGTCTTAGGGTCTCCACACCATTTTCAAATGCTGCCTTCGATAGTTCTTGGAATTTTCTAATAAGCAATTCCATGCAGGTGTTGCTGTTTTATGAATAGAAACTCATATTCTGCTCCATCCTGATAGTTCAGTGATTTTTGAGGCCTTTTTTTGTGTTGGTCAAGTTGTGTTGTGTTTTACTCCCTGGTGGAAAATCAAAACAAAATCAGCCTGTATATCTTCCACTGATGATCTTCTATAATAATAAGGTTTTTAGTTTGTGTAAACTGAAAATGACATCTGGAGCTAGCAGAACCATTCTGCATTCATGTGCGTGCATTTCAGATCTTACATCAATGGTAGAAGACCTTCATTCCCGTTGTTTCTGGAAATGTTTTATCTAAAACTGCGTGTCCCTTTGTTAGTACACACTTCATGGCGTGTGTTTTACGCTAGGCTTGATTTGAAACTGGTGCTTGTTGTGAACAGATCTCTAAATCCACCCCGAGGTCTCTTCTGGAAGCAAGTTAGAGATTGTTCCTGCTGCTGGGCGGGACAGGGCCCAGCAGCGATACCTGCTGCCCCCCACGGGGGCCCTGCCAGGCAAAACTGTTTGTCCAAGCTTACTAACTTTTTGTATTACTGACCATAGAAATTAGAAATAAGAGAGTATAGCATAGGCTTCAATGTTTGTGTAAGTGTTACCCGCAAAAGCGTTTTCTTGGGTCCGAGGTCAGGATGTATTGAAAATAAGATGCTCTATGGATGGAGTAGTTTCACAACTAAGTGAAACTTCTTTATCATTCACAAGGTAAATTTAATCCATATTGAAAATTTGTTCCAACTGCACTTACATCGGTTTGGTTTTAATGGTTATTACTATTTAAATTGGGTACCTTTTAAGTAACAAAATAAAGCGTGTACCTGTGAACCTGAGAGATTGCCCTGCATGTGTCTTCTGTGCGTTCGCGGTGGTTTCCCACGAGCTGTGGAGGGGCCATCGCACCCCGCGTTGTCGGCCGCCTCCGGGTTCCTGCCGTGTGGAGACAGGTGTCTTCCAGTTCTTCATTAGCATGTTTAATCCCCTCTCCAGCACTAGGAAGAATTGATCGGGTCCCCAGTATGTGTATATTTTTTAATACTTGCTAATTTTAGTGCCAACTTCATGAAATTCAGCGATCAAAATTACTCCTACAGATTCTGTAGGGTGCACCTGTGTTTCACAAAGTCTGACTGTGCAGCTTGGTTAGAACAAAATCTAGAAACTAAAATAATGGAACAAGGTCCTGAAGCAGCACGAGCTGGAGCGCTTCCCTCTCCCCATCTGGCTGCGGCCCCTGACCGCACCCTCTCTGGAGTGGCTGCCGGTGTTTGTAAAGAGTCCCCCGGAAGCCGCTGGGCCAGGTTTGCTCATGCCTGCTGTAAGTGTGAAATTGAGAACCCTGACTCCCAGACCACCGGTGTGGGTGCCGTGCGCTGAGAATAAAGCCAAGTGACGTTTAAAAAAATCCTGAAACGAGCAGGGCTTTTAAATTCTGTACCTTTCGAATCATGTGTGCCTTTCTACAATAATAACAAGAAGAAAAACCCATCAGTATTTACAGAATGCCAGGCAGGGCCTGGTTTACGTGCTTTCCGTGAGTTATCTCCGGTAGCCCCAGCAGTCGGCCCAGGAAGTGTCTTGTTGGTCTCGTTTTACAGGGCAGGGCACTGAGGCAGAGGGGCGTCCCATGACCTTAGGGGCGTATGTGCTGGGTAGAGAGTGGAGCCGAGTGATCTGAGCAACAAGCCACAAAGAAAGGTGGCTGATACTACTAAAGCCAGTGAGGGATTTCGGAATTGTCCAACGGTGGGGTCCCACTGCGAAGCTCGTCCCAGTGTCAGAGGTGGAGAGCTGGTGCTGGGGTGACCAGCGCCGGGCGGTACCACGGGTTCTCATGGCGAGCCCTGCTCCTGGCCTCCGCCTTACAACTCCCTCCCCTCCAGAGCTGGCTGGTGCCCGAAGTGGGGAGCACTTTATCACTCACACCTGTGCTCTGCGAGGTCTGAGGAAGACACGCTGCTGCGAGCAGCGTCCAGGTGGGGCCAGGGCGAGGCCGCAGGTCTGAGGGACTCTGCTCGCCCACACCAGGGAGTCTGCACACCTACACGCCCAGCTCTGGAGGTGAGGGCACACGGTGTGGGACTTCGCACAATTAGTAAACTAGGCTAGTTCTTCGGTCCTCCTCAGCCCTTAGGGCTTTCCCGAGAGGTAGTGAGCTGTGATCCTTGAGCCCACAGGAGCTGAGAACAAGCAGTCTCAGGGTTAGAGGAGTAAAGTCCCAAGTCTTCCGTGCTGTGGTGGCTAAAAGGGAGCCTCTGAGTGCCCCCCGCCTAACGTCAGAGATGTCAGACCTCCCAAGCTAACACGCTGCTTTTAGAAAGCAGAAACTGTACTGGACGTGGTGGTGCACACCTGTAATTCCAGCACTTGGGAGGCTGAGGCAGGAGGATCGACACAAGGTTGAGTCCAGCCTGAACTACAGTACAGTGAGAGACCCTGTCTCCAAGAAAAATACGGAAAAGTAAAATATAAAATAGTAATAACCGATGTAGTGATGTTTAAGGTATAGCTAAAATAAGTCATTTACTTAAATTTACAGTTTAATGATTCTGACTGAATCTTTATGATAGTTTCCTTAGTATTCTGTTCATTTACTAGGGTTACTTTTAAACCTCCAGAAAATCCTCTTAAGAATAAAGTGAAGGGGGACTGGGGATATAGCTCAGTAGCACAGTGGCTGCCTGGCAAGCGCAAGCTCGTGAGTGCGATTCCTGGTACCAAAAAAAAGAAGAAAGTGAAGGAAAGAAAAATGGCAGATGTTCAAGATATGCTAAGAAGTAAAAAAGCCACACGTGATACTTGCAAAACATAAGGGATTTATTGCCCGGCCAGCGCGCAGGGTGCGGTTTGCCCCGTGTCTCCTCACGCTGCTTTCTGGGTTCCGGCCGGGCATGCATGCTGTTGTCTAAGGTGGGTGTCCCGAGGTGGAGAAGGCGCTGCCCACCCGGCTTCAGACACAGTATTTCCAGAAACACTCCAAGGGCACCCCGTGCGGCCTCTGCTGGTTTCTGCTGCTTGCCAAAAGACGACTGAGTCGCATGTTAGGCTCTTGTCCAGAGGAAGTCTGAAACCAGAACAAGCCAAGCGGAACAGCAGGTCAGTAATGGATGAATTCAGTCCTTGGAGAAAAAAGAGCTTCCAGCAGGGACAGCAGACCTCGCAGCAGCCCGTGCTCCGCCGTGCCGGAGGCTCCCAGGGGTCCCTCGGCTGTGTGGCGTGGGTCCCCTAGCCCACACCAGCCCGTGTCTGTGCACCCCGCCTGTCTGTGACGTGTCCTGCACGTTTATTATCTTCCGCAGGACACAGAATTTTATGTCTCGAAATTAACTTCTTTAAAGGTTGACCCTTAGTTTTGTATTCTACAGTTTAATGGGGACAGCCTGCTAACTGCCCGGATGACTGTAGTCGTTAGTCTTTCCACTCTGAAGGCTGGGAGCGCGTGAATGCTGCGTCTCACTGGCACAGGGGAAGGCACGCGTCCTCCCGGGACGGCTCGTCCTCAGGGACCTTGCCATCTCCAGGGCTTCGCGTGTCCACAGCGCGGTACGTGCCAGCAAAGGGGCTGCCTTGTGGAGGACGTGTCTGGGAAAGGCTTGGCTACAGTTAAGTCTCCTGAACTCCTGGAGGACCTCCAAGATCTCATCAGCCCAGAACTCCCAGGGCCAGGACAGCCAGGGCTGGAGCCCGGCGGTGGAGACTGGCTCGAAGGAGGGGGAGCCCCGGAGAACCCTCAGGAAACACCGAGTTTCCTGGGGGCTGACAACAAACACAGGCTTTCCTTTAGCTTTTACAGTTCTCTGCTCCCAACCCCGTGACTTTGGTGTTCATCACGCCCTCCAGCCTGCCCAGCACCCCGGAAGTGACTTTCTGCAGGTCGTGCTGCCTTGGCGTGCTTCCCTGCCTTGTGGCCTGAGCACTCGTCCTTATGTCTGGACGGTTCCCTGTCATCGAGGTGTGTGCGGTCCCCCAGTTTGATCCAGTGGGTCCTGCGAGGCCGGGGTCTGCATTTCCCAGGAGCTCCCAGTGCTCCCAGGGCTGCTGGGACTGGTGCCACAGGTCGGTACCACGAGGGACACAGCACGAGTGGGCAGCAGACTTGAGAGCAGGACCTTAGTTTTAAATTCTCCCGACAACATGTTATAATTACCCCGAACAAGCACTTGAGTTCGTGTCACACTCAGGTTTTACACGAATCAGAATTTGTAAAAAGAAACGTCTTGGAACAACACTAACCAGGTATTTGAAGGTGAGCTTTCCCCTAAGCATACGCTGCCCGGTTGTGAATTCAGGGTCCTGCAAGATGAGGCGCAGAACGTTCCCCTCGGACCCCGACTCCCGGGCAGCACCACTTACCTTTCTCACGTTTCCTCTTGGGTGAAGGGTGTTCGCCTGAGGGTCTGGAAAATGATTTTGAAACTGGTTTACCAGATCTGTTGTTTCTCTTGTACGCTCATTTTAAAACAGTATTTCTAAAGTATGTCTAGTTGTGTCCTTTTCACACGGCAGTGATATTTACTTGAATGAAGATGGGAACTCTTACCACTGGGGCTCAGGAGACACTGCATTTTCCTCGGTAACTTAGCAGCTCAGAAAACCATTTAGTAACCTAACTCTGTCTGTCAAACAACGTCTGGAGAGGCTCTGTCTGCTTCCCAGAATGTCCTACGATCCTTTCAGGGCTTGGACAAATAACTGCAGTCATAGAGAAAAATAGTCAAGGCTGACGCTGTATTGATTATTTTCTGAGTGATTTGCTGAGAATGTCACTTGCATTTTCTCTGCAAAATAATCCTATCAGGTGGATATTTTTAGCATTTCTGTTTCCTGGTTAAAAACTTGGGTAATAGGTTAAGTGAGATGCTTAAGATTTTCCCAAGTGGGAAAGCAGGATTTAAACGTGGCCTCACCGAATACTGTAATAATCACTCCCGCACCACCTCCAAAGAGATGAATGTCCAGACGGGAGGAGGAGACCTGGAGGAGCCGCAGCCAGCCTGGTGCTTGCAAGGAGTGGGGTGAGGGGACGGAGGGTTGCAAAGGGCATTTTCGGGCCAAGAGGGAGAGTGCTGGGTGTTACAGGTTTACTTCGTTCATATAGCTCATCTTCAGGCTCCAAAATAGGGGTTCTCCTCGTCTAGTAGGTGAGGTTGGAGGGGAAGTTCACCAGCAATAAAAGCGAAGCCTGCGCAAGCGTGGGAACCATCGTACCTGTGTCTTTGCGCCCCTCGCCCCTCCCTGCGCCGAGCACCTCCGGCAACAGCCGCAGGAGGGCCGCTCTTTCCAGCTTCTCCAGGGCCAGCCTCGCCTCTTCATCCGGGGCTGCAGAGTGAAAACACACACTGTCCTCCGCCGCCTCCCGTCAGTCCTTCCCGCTCCCTGTCGTCTTTGGGGACAGGGACAGGGAGATGAACAGAAAAGCTTCCAACACAAAGGTCATGATCTACAATTACTTTAACGAGCAAAGGTGCTTTGGTCAAACTTGCCAGCCAGGGGAAGTCCAGGGTTATGAGTCTCACATCCCTCACCGGCTGCCTGTGCGACTGGCACGCCACCCGCCTGCCTGAGCAGGAGGAAGAGTTGAGCCAAACCCCGAGCCCCACTGGCTCATAAGGTCCGATCGTCCTCATTTTGTCCGCTGCTGCCCTGTGCCCTTTGTGTTTAGATGACCTGGACGGTACAACTGGAAAAGCAGGGAAGGGAAGGAAAGGAAAGGAAAGTCCTTCCCGTAAGTCAGGATGATGGGGCGCCTCCTGCTGGACTTCAAGGTATGGTTGCAGTTATGCTTCAATCAACTTCAAAACAGTTTTTAAGGCGCGAGATCCGGGCCTTTTCAGTGTGAGATGTGACCAAGGAACAGCACCCGAATGCTGTAGCCGGTGCGGCCGGGTGTGTGTCAGCCTGGGGCTCCAGCCGGTGCGCTCTTGGGACTGAGGCTCCGCAGGCTGGGCTGGGACCCCGGGCATCACCTGCGTGCTGCAGGCTGGCGCTCCCCTGCTGCAACCTCGATCCTGGATTAAGACTTCCAAGCACATCCACAGTATTTCTGAAGACTGCTAATCAGGACCAGGAAGGTCTGATCATACAAACACTTATGTCAGGAAAGACCGCTACCCTCACTTCATCTGGTTTTTAAATTGCAATACATATTATTTTAACATGACATTAATACTTGAATATTCATTTGGGTTTCTTGCGATACTTACCATCTTTTTTTAAATAACAGAGCTTCAAGGCTGGGGGTGTAGCTCAGTGGCACAAGTGCCTGCCTGGCAAGCGCAAGGTCCTGAGTTCAATTCCCGGTACCAAAAAATAAATAAATAACAGAGCTTCACTGCCTTTGACCAAGACGACTGCTCACCACGAGCTCAGTGAGGAGAAGCTGAGTGACAGTGTCTGAATGACTAACGAGGCTTGAAAGTGATCAGAAAGCAGCTGGGGAGAAACCGCTAGAGACTAGAGATTATAGAACCAGTAGCTTAGTTTTTCCTTTACTTAAAAAAATGTCCAAAAAGTCTCCAAAGTGAAAGACAAGATTAAATCCAGTTAAGTGTTTTGTAAAACCTAGTACATAACCTAATAATATTTCCTACCCTAAATTAAGAGGCAGTTGCAAAATCAGTTTCTGCTTGACTGATATTTTTTACATTCACCTCGGACGTCAGTAGAATGAACATGAATCAGCAAGCAAAAATAAGTGCACTTGGAAGTCAGTGTCATCCCTACCTCCAGCCTGGCACTTCTCCAGTTTTTAATAAGCCCGTTTGTTGCGTGTGGCATGTCAGATGATTACTCTTAATGAAAATAGTATCTGTAATTGGAAGGACAATTCTGCACTCTACCCCATTTAGAAATTAAAAATAATGATGTTTTAAATTTAGTGCTAGGGGCTGGGGATTTAGCTCAGCAGCACAGCACCTGCCTGGCAAGTGCAAGGTCATGAGTTCGATTCCCGGTACCGGAAAAAAAATAAATTAAAAAAAAATTTAGTACAGTTTTTATAATTGGGGGAAAAAATTGACCAAAATGAAAGTTTGGATTACAGAGGAGACACAAAGTAAGCAATGCTGCTCTTCTACTTTGGCATTCTAGAGAAATCTTTCATCCATTGCTAAATCTAAGATGTGCAGTAAGGGTCCCCCTGATATTCTCTTCAAAGCTGAGACTGCTGATAAAAGAAGATTCCTTCAAGAAAGAATCTCATCCTTATCCCTAGCATAGCACTGAAGACTGACGAGGACTCCAAGAATAACAAAAAGAGAGAAAGCTCATCTCACCTGGCAGCTGAAGGGGTGCTTCCGTGGAGCCGATGACGGGAAGAGAGAACAGAGGCTGTAGCAGTCCTATAAACAACAGGAAGCAGGAAGCCAGCTTGTACATGATGGTAGGAGACAGGAGCCTTCTTCCCTGTCTTCTGTGGAGAACTTTGAGCCTCTCCTCTCCATTCTGTGATCACCGATTATATATACCATTCTATGACCTCATATCGTCCCCTCCACAAAAATAAAGTAAATTTATTGGCTGTGGAGGCTAAAAGGCAATCACTTTGCATTGAAGTAATTTTTCAAAGTAATAGTTCATAGACAATAAATTTACTGTCTGTTGCCTAGTGTACAAAGCAGGTGCTATATAAAGAAAGAACAGTTAAGTTTGCAAGTCTGGCGAAAGGAGTCCTTCACAGCAATAAATCATGAGTTAAAGAAAGGTTCAGACATGAATTGATGTGGCCGAGGCAGAGGGACATGGATTTATGAGTCCTAGCAGAAGTGACGCAGACTGTGACATGAAATATGTTGGTTTCCTTTTTTTAATCTTTCACGACCAAATAGATAAGTTGTCCTATTGTGTCTGGAACTTCCATGGCTGAAAAATGATAACCTGTGGATTAAAACTTAGAACAAGTTCTTTAAAACAGTGCAGGTAGCTATCTAGCGACATTGTTCAAGACCCAAGGTTTGTCTTCTGGTTATATTTGACGCCATGTAAAACCAGAAGTGCTTGAGTCTTCAAAGAAAAGAAAAGCACTTTCCTTGAAGCTGATGTTATCCATCAAGGATGGATGAAGAACAAACCCCAAGAAGCTTGCTGATAAATATCTCCCGGATTTTACTTCTACCCACCTCTGCCACTGTGCCCAGTCTGGTCCAAGCTTGGGCTGTTGCCATGGTTTCCCAGCAAGCATCCTCCAGTCTACATCCCAGCCCCAGTCTCACCCCACACAGCAAAGAGAGATAAGTCAGACCACATCAGTTTTCCCTCAGAACCGCATTTTGACTTAAAGACAAATGTTAGAAACAGAATGACTAGAAAGAAAAATATTTGAGCGTCTTCTCCACCTCGGGTTAGGCAACTGTGTCTTAGGACATATCTACAGAAGAACACGTTTGAGACAGGAGTAAGTTCAAGCAAGCTGTACGTCATGGTGACTGCGGCTGGTAATGATACACTGCACACCCGACAGCTTCTCAGAGTAGATACTCAAGTGTCCTCACCACCAAAGAATAATTGTGTCAAATTGTTTGGTTTGACCTTTCCACAGTGTTTACCTATATCAAAATATGATGTTGTACACCATGAATGCATATACATCTTATTTGTTAATAAATTAATGAAAAAATCAATAAGCGGACTTCATCAACATTAGAAAACATCTACCCTTTGAAAGACGTAGCTGAGAAGATGAAAAAGTCAGCTATGACTTTGAGAAAATATTCACAGAACCTATACCTGACAAATTAGTTTCCCAGGCTGTATTTAAAGAAACAAAATTCGGTAAGCTAAGCAAGCTAATTAGAACAGGTAAAATCCTTGAGCAGACTCTGCCCAAGAGGTGCACATGTCGGCTTTAGGCACATGAAAAACATTCAGCCTCATCAGCCGCCAGAGAAATGCGAGTTCAGAGCACAAGGTGCTTGCTATTGCATACCCACCGCTAAGGCTGCAATTGCAAAGACTGACCACAGACAGGCTGCCGGCGCAGACCTAGAGCCCCCGGGCCTCACACCTCGGCTGGGGCTGTAAAGTGGGACAGCCTCTTGGCAAACTCTGGAAGATTCTTATAAGATAAATCCTACAGCTCAACCTGGGCATAGTGTTGCACACCTGTAATTCCAGGACTCGGGAGGCTGAGGCAGGAGGATTGCCGTGAGTTTGAGACCCGCCTGGGCTGCATAAAGAGTTCAAGCCTGGACTATATAGTGAGACCCTGTCTCAAAAATTACAAAAAAGATGACATCTACAGCTCAGTGCAGGAGCAGTTGCTTAGCATAGATCCAATTCCCCAGCACTGCGAAATAAAAACATAATTGTGCTACCAGAAGCACCTCTCCTCTATAGATTAAAGGAGAAGTTATAGAAAAGATGTTTCTCGGTAGCACAAGGCTACTTTATATTTTATTACTTTATTACCATTGAGATCTTCTGCAAATGGAAAGGGGACGTAGAGACGGACAGAAAGAGGAGGGAAGGAGGAGAGGAGAAGGGGAATAAAAGTGTGACGAGATGTTAAGTACGTGAGCCCACTCCCTAAGGTGAATGGAGACGTCAGGCACTGCAATGGACTCAGAAGAAAAGGGGTCGCACCTTCTCCCTGTGGCGGTCTCCACCACCCCGGCGCTGCTGGTCGCCCTGGCCCTCACACACGTGAGACGCCTTCTGCATCTGTCCTGAACAACAGGTGCTCAGAAGACACCTGTTCAGGGCCCTGTTGAGGGGGAGGAGCAGTGAGCAAAACCTAGCATTGTCTCCCCAACTTTCCAGCAGGAAGAAATGGAGAACAAAATAGGTCTGTGCTCTGATAAGTTCGTGTCGCTGCTCTGTGACGTAAAACCCGCAAGGAGACAGCGGGGTGGGGCAGCTGTCAAGGAAGCAGTGGATCCAGGACAGAAGCTGCTGGGAAGGGATGTCTGGGCAGAAGCTCAAATTTTTCTTTTTGGCGGTCAAGGGGAGTTGAGACAGGAAATCACTGTGTAGCCCAGGCTGGCCTCAAGCTTCCAGCAATCTTCCTGCCTCAGCCTCCCGAGTGCTGGGATTACAGGTGTGCGCCACCGTGCCCAGTCAGAAACCCAGAAGAATATGGGTCCAGTGGAAGAAATGGAGGCACAGCGGCCTGTGCCTGGAAGCACTGGAGGAAGAAAGAGCCCCGCAGGCAAAGGGAGAAAGTGAAGGAGTGATGGACAGGCTGGGCTTGGCCTCCTGCAGCGGGCAGCATGTCCTTGGCGCAGGGACGCTGCCAGGGCACATGGCGCACACTCACACCTCCATGTCACCTGTTGGCTGGAAGGTGGTCCAGCTACTCAGGACCCCACAACTCACCAGTCTCCCTCAGCGGCTCCTCCTAGCCACCTTGGCTAGGTGCGGGGACTCAGCTGTGGACAAAGGGGACAGAAATGTGGCCCTCAGGAACCCGATGTCCACAGCAGAGCTGAGAGAAACCACTTCCATCCCGTTGGAGAAAACAGAGCCCATTGGGAAGACCCAGTGGCTTCCTGGAGCTGCAGCAACATGGAGTGCAAGAGCCAGGGTCCCCCAGGCCCGTGGCTGCCTGCTGTGGCAACTCCTGGCCAGTTTCATGCCAGGGCATCTCTCTGTCCATATAAAGCTCATTCTCTTTTCTTTCAGCCAAAAATACTGTTGCTGGGCATGGTGGCGCATGCCTGTAATCCCAGCACTCGGGAGGCTGAGGCAGGAGAATCACTGCAAGTTTGAGGCCAGCCTCGGCTGCAGAGTGAGCTCAAGGCCAGCCTGAAGTGCATCGTGAGACCCTGTCTCAAAAAAGACAAAATAAATAAATAAAGATTGTTTTTTCTTTTCACCGTAGATTTGGCCAGACATACCTCTGCCACTGACCAGGAGGGCCACAGGCATCTGCTTTCCCAAGGACATCCTGTGGGAAAGAGAGACCAGCAGCAAAACCCTGTCACCTGCCACCTTAGCTGTAGTGGCGGGGACGGACAGCAAAGGCTGACAACTCAAGTGCTGAGAGAAATCCAAAGTGACAGAGGCGTGAGGCCGCCTCGCGTCATGGCGGGTGACAGTAGGGGGCTGGGGACGGCGGCACACGCTGTCTCAGAGGTGGCAGCAGCTACTTGTCACCAAGCAAGCGTGTTAGAAACCTGAAATCCCAGCACGTCCAGGATTTCCCTCAGCAGCAGCAAAGCTCTGTGATGCTACTGGGCGCTTCTGAAGAAAATACATCCGCAGACTATAATTCAAACTACACAGACCCGCTTTTAGCCTAAATCCCCCAAGTGAGTCTGTAAGTTAGTAGATTATAGAGCACAGTAGCACGGGATGTTAGTAACCATCAGAATAGCCATGTCATTAACAGACATTAATAATTCATGCTTTAGATTCTCATATAAGAGAAACCATGAGATATTTAAGCTTGTGTGTCTGAAGGTGCATCTATTTTCCCGCAAATGACTCCAATTTATCCTTTATGGCGGAATAGTACTCCGTGTGTGTAAACACCACACTATTAAAGGGCAAAATAAAGGATAGAGAGTAGGAAGCAGGAAGATGGATCTTTTACAAAATGGAAGGGAGCCAAGAGATGGAGGGAGGACAGAGGGAGGGAAGGGGAAGAGGAGCAAAGAGAAGTAAGATGTTCTCTGCCCAGGCAGCTCCGGTGATGAGTGCGGTCAATACGCCCTGCAAACACGGACTACGGAAATACAAAAGGAAGCCCAGGACCATGAAAACAGACAAACGCAGACATCAGTGAGTAAAATACAAGGTGGCTGCTACTATACAAGGAGGTTGTGGGCAGCAACTAGGATGTGATAGTACAAAACTAAACATTGGAAAGGTGGTGTTCGAGGTCAGGGATGGGTTTCTTTTTTTTTTTTTTTTTGGTACTGGGAATAGAACTCATGACCCCAGGCTTGCCAGGTAAGCACTTATGCCATTGAGCTATATCCTTGGCCCAAGAGATGGTTTTCTTAAGACTTTGTGTGTGTGTGTGTGTGTGTGTGTGTGTGTGTGTGTGTGTACATAAGGCACTCAGGATTCAGAGGTGGGAAAATTATAGGCTGAGACCTGGGGAGCTTTGGTAACCCTTAAGTTTGGATCAAAAGGGAGGTGGCAGCTCTCTGTCTCTGTCTGTCTCTGTGTCTCTCTGCCCCTCTCTCTCTCTCTCTCTGTCTCCCTTCCTCCCTCTCCCTCTCTCCTGGAGGAGGCTACTTGCCAGGATTTGTCATCTCTGGTGACTCAGGGGTCCTCCTGACAGTTTTCATGATGGTTTTACAGCATGGCCTAATTAAGTTACTACCAAAGGCTTAAGCTTCAAAAATTGAGCTTCCTTCCTCTAACAGACCATCAATGACGGTGTCACCTTGTCCCAGAAACGCACCAAGCTCGTCATCAGCCCTCGTGGTTCAACACAGAGCCATG